AAATTGTCTGCAGTTTAATTTAGTAATTCATAAAACTTTCACTGTTAATTCAGTGATTTTGCTTCTTCCTTCAGATCACATAATATCCGTTACTCCTTCGACTAGTGTCGATATGCTGACATTTGAAAATGTATTTTATTATTTGAAGAAGACTGGGCAATGAAATGTTTTTTTTTAAATGACTGAAAAATCGGACCCATTTTTCTTCACAACTTTTACTTTTTCACATTTTAGAATTAGCTGACCAAAAAGCTTTTACAATCATTTTATCATCAAAAAGTTAATTTTTATTTATTAGATTATTTGCGTTTGTTTCGTTAATTTTTTTCATCTGAAGCTTCAGTAAGAAATACATCTGTCATAAAGTGCTGCAAACTCTTAAAGGATTGCATTGATGATATTAATAGTATATATGCGGTACTTCCAAAATTTTACCAAATAGCTGGGACAAAATGACCATCTGGCCGGGATGCAAAGACACACATCAAACCAGACAGTCCTTTTCAAAAGACAGCAAGAAAGCCTATTATATACTTTAGGCAGATTATGAAAAAAGGTCATAAGGCTGTTATTTAAAAGACGTCCATTCGTTAAAAATACAAATGTTATTTTGAGAAAAAAAATTAACCTATTTGTTGCAACATGGTAGGCTTGAATGGCATTTTGAATTTACTTCATTAGTCTTTTCACACAAAGACATTACATATTTCTTTATCCATACACTGACGAATCCTTGGCCATTTCTATTAGACTGAGCAATTGCAACTGACCAGAGAGAAATTTCGTGATCAGGAATATCTTCAACTCTAAGCAGGTTCACAGATCATAAAATGAACTGCATTATCGTCTATAGTGGTTTTAAAATTCTTTCAGAAGTTCAAAGCTGGTAGAAACTATCCTCCGTTACATTCATTACAGCTGCCAATTACAATTATAGTGCCGAACTATTATATACTTTCCCTAAGCCTTGTATATAATACGGAGATGTATTTCATACTATGCCGGCTTGTCATTTGTCATTCTCGTCGCTCGTGAGCTTCTAGGTAGGACTTCGCCGCTCGTATATAGGATTAACCATATGTCGGATTGACCAAGATAGGCCTGGATTCATAATTATGTCTGAAGCTGGACTACCAGACGTTCCGGATTCGCCGAGATAGGCCTGGATTCATAATTATGTCAGAAGCTGGACTTAACAAGAAGTTCCGGATTGGCTGAGACAGACCTGGATTCATAATTATGTCCGGAGCTGGACTGCCAGACGTTCTGGATTGGCCGAGACAGGCTTAGATTCATAATTATGTCCGGAGCTGGACTAGCGGACGTTCTGAATTGGCCGAAACAGGCCTGAATTCAAAATTATGTCCGGAGCTGGACTACCAGACGTTCCGGATTTGCGAGACAGACCTGGATTCATAATTATATCCGGAGCTGGACTACCAGACGTTCTGGATTGGCCGAGACGGGCCCGGATTCATAATTATGTTTGGAGCTGTGTCCGTGGCTTTCAAATAGTTAGTTATAAGAGTTCAAAAAGAAATTGTTAATTTGTAGAAGAATGGGCTGCAAAAATTCTATGAGATCTTAATAATAGCTTTAATGGAATGCAGCCATTTTAAGGCAAAACGTCATATAATTTTCGGGATATTGGTGAGGATATTCGGGATTTGATAACATGTTTTCTGAACATCGACGTCTTCACAGTAGCTCCGACGGCTTCACGTGCTCCAAAATGCGATCAGTGTAGCCTTGCGATATTTTTGACGGTGCGTTTTGATTTATTTATACTATTAACGCTTGTTATTCAACGCAGGCTTCGACAGAAAGTGTTTTAGAAGTGGAGAAGGGGGGACAAAAATTGGAGGAAAAAAATTACATCAAATATTTTTACTCAATTATTTCATTTGACAGGGGTTACAGTTATAGAATAGAGTACCGTATCAATACACTAATACAACTTTTTCTCAAGCCCTGGTGGTGTAAGTGTCCCACCAGTATCCGAGAAGTTAACACCACTGGATACTGGGGGTTCGACACCATACAAACGGGCTGGTTGATTGATTGGTTTTCATGCTTTTCCTAGTGTGTACATGCGTACGAGCCGGTTTCGCTTATAAAGTTATCCACGAAGGTATTTCTTCTTTTAGACAGATTGCTTTCATCCACTTTGCCGATTTGTAGTAACTTAACAACATGCGGTAAATGCTGCATTTATATTCTTGCGGACTCTTTAGGTGGTAAGTTTTGATAGCTTTTTTCACTCTGAAATTAATTTTTCGTAAAATGGTCTGGATTACCTATTCTAAAACGTGGCAGCCCTATAATATGATCTCTTTATAACTCAAATAAAAAAAAGAAAGCCTCTTTTAGAAGCTGAAAGATTATTTTATAGATTTTGGGTTTATTTTAGTTAAAAAAAAATTCAGGTGCTTTGGTTATCTTCATATATATACTTCCGTAACCTTTCTGTAATTCTTTAAGAATTGGTTTCGCTTGAGTCAACGAAACCATGACCCTTGAATGGTTGATAGCCTTCAAGAAAATTTATGCGTCGACCATAATTGAGTAACTGGGCATTCAAAGCGCTAAAGACTTTACTGCATGATTTCGGTCTTATCTCTGGAATAAAATTAGTTAAAATTGTAGTAAAATCAGTATTCTTGAGGTTTTTTTTTTTTTTTTTTCTTTTTATCCCAGTTAGCAAGATCCTTATTTAAAACGTACAGCTTATCCTTTGTAGATTATAAATGAAACCATGGAAATAAAGAAAATAGACAAGTAAAATGTACTTTTTGTTTAAATAATTTTAAATAGAAAATGCCAAATTATTACATATTTTCACAAAACACTTTATGATGTCAGTATCTGCTGCGCTGAAGAGATGAAGAGGAGAAAGCCCTTTATTAGAAGTTTTGCCTTGGGCCCCCAATTTTGTCAATCGAACAGAAAAAAACACCTATTAATTGTCTCGTAAATATTACAATAATATGTCATTTCTTGGAATTTCGAACTAATCAAAATATAATTCTAACTAATATATATTTCATATGAAATCTAAAAACAAAATTCAGCATCGAAACTCCGACTTAAGTTATATTCCAAGAACTTCTTAGGTACAGGATATCGAAAATTTATTTTTTTCCCCCAAATGCCAGATTCTGAACAGTTACAGTTTTTTGTAACAGAGTCCATTAATCTATACTAAGGCCAGATGTGGTGGTCTCTTTATTATGGAGGAAATTACACTGCTAGCCACCCAAATTGCAACACCGAGAAAGACAAGAGATATCACAACAACATTTATTTAGTAGATAACATGTTGACCAAGTATCAAATGATTAAATTTATAGACTTCTGTGAAGTGTGGTTCCTTCCAGAATCAATAGCCAGAGTAGCCGCCCCCATTGTTGGAGATCACCGCTGCCACACGCCTCGGCATTCATTCAAAGAGACTTTGGATGGGTTTTTGGGGTACAGCAGACCAAGCAGCTTCCACACGTTGCCAAAGTTGATCTGGTGTGGCAGCTTGGGATGTAATCTGGGTCAATCGTTCAGCAACCATGGACCACATGTTTTCTATCGGCGAAAGATCCGGAGAGCGAGCCGGCCAGGGAAGCTATTCAATCTGGCGATTGACGAAGAACCCTTGGACAATGCTTGCCACGTGTGGTCGCGTGTTATCCCTTTGAAATATGGCTGTGGGCAAGCCCTGAAGATAAGGAAGGATAACTGGCTCCAACACCTCGGAGATGTAGCGCTGGTTGTTTAAAGTACCGGCAATGCGTATTAGAGGAGTGCAAGAGTGATATTCAATACCCCCGTACCATAATACCCGGTGCAGGACTAGGGTGGCGGTGCATAATGCAGCTGTTCAGCATCCTCTCTCCACGGTGTCTCCAGACTCGAATCCGACCATCGTGGTGTTGCAGTCAAAAGCGTGACTCGTCAGTAAAGACAATTTCATTCCATTCTGCCGTCCACATCCTTCTTTCATCCCACCATTGGCGGCGGAGACGTGTATGGTTCTGCGTCAAGGGTGGACGAAGCAATGGACGTCTTGCGGACAGACCACTCTGCTGTAAACGGCTTCGAATGTGGTACGCGCATACACTGGATGATGCGTTACAGACTGAATGTGCTGTGCTATGGTTCGTGATGTGACTGAGCGATCCGTCACTGCCATGCGCACAATGTTCCTGTCATCACGTGAAGTGGTGCACTGAGGTGGATGCGATCGAATACGTCGGTCCGTCGTACCCTCCTTGCATCCAAACGGTCCATATATCCGCATTAACAGTTGTTTGGTTTCGTTCCAACAACGAACTACCGATTTCCCTGAAAGATAATCCACACTCTCGGTAGGCCACTATCCTTCCTCTGTCGAACTCGGATACTTGATCAAACGATGATCGCTGTTTACTGTGAGGATGCATAAATTGATCTTCTTTTTTTTTTTTAAAAAAAACCACAGGAAAAAACACAATTGCCGAACTTGAAATCGTCGAAAACTCCAAGCCTTAAATAACGCTTTGAAATGGCACCACAGGCAACGCTTTGAAGTGGCACCACAGGCGCGCGTGATATCCGTCTGCCCTGAAATTCTAATCATTTGCATATCTTACTCCACGAATGCATGTTGTAAATTTCATGTTATTTGCATGCTTCCTTCAGGGTGTTGCATTTACGGTGGCCAACAGTGTATAAGGTGGGCCACCATTGCCACCTATGGAGGAACGGATTACAACCATGCCTTCTCCGCGATTCGAACCCAGGCCCTTCGGTATCGCAGTTAGGCTCCCCTAACCACTATACCATCCACTGCTTCGAAATATTTATTTATTTATTATAATAAATTCTTCAAAAATTTATTATCTTGCTGATTTTTGAAGAATTTATTATGCCTAGATTATTTTTTGTTGAATTGGAGTTTCATGTATTTCTTAAATATCAGTGATAGTTTTGGTCCTCATGAGTTAAATATTGTTTTCTCTTATTTCTAGATCCGGTCTTCCAGATTTGTGTTTCGAACAAAAGTGAAAGCAAAAGTTTTTATTCATACGAAATAATCGACAGCAGTTATGCCGATCGACTTGGAGATGATCCTGTCGGCCAGTCCTCCCCTCTTCAGCACACATTCTTTCATGGATTTTGGTTATAGTCCCTTCCACAACGCCCGGAATCATCGCAACAAGCTAAACTCCGCATTCAACGGCTATCCCTCCAACAAAGACGTCCGATCCTGCTTGATGGCCAAATCCGATGAAGACTCTAAAGAGAACAACAAGAAACGCGTTTGGTTCGCCGATGACAAGGGACTTGCTTTGACGCACGTGAAGATAATGTCCGAGCCTTCCAACTGTCCGCCCCGATGGACAGATGAGTTTTTGGCACAGGTAACCAAAGGGGTCAAACCCAACCCCACTTCGGACATTGAATGGGTACCACAGTTCGCCCAACCTGCTTCCGATTATCTTCAGTTCCGTGACAAACTCCAGAGAAACTGCGTGTCCTTGGAGAACGTTATCATTCGAGAAGGCGAGGATAATATAACCGGTACCATCAAGGTGAAGAACCTCGCTTTCGACAAGGAGGTATTTCTAAGAGTGACGTTCGACAAGTGGACCACCAGCACCGATATACCAGCATCATTTGTACCCAGTGGCGTTGAAGCTGGCAGCTCCCAATATGACACTTTTTCCTTCATTTTGTCCATACCACAGTCTGCCGTTAAGTTTGAGTCCATAGAATTCTGCGTGTGCTACAGATGTTCTGGTAAGGAATACTGGGACAATAACGGAGGCAGCAATTACAAACTTGCAGCTGTTAGCCGGAAATCGCAAAGTCCTTCAATATACGGTAAACAGGTCAATGATGCTTTGCAAGTCAATTTGGATTCTTGGTCCGAGTTTGCCAGCTGGAGTCATTTGATAACCGAAGGACCGTATTGGTGAAGTCTCTGTTTGAAGAAGGATAATACATTTTATTATACTTAAATTTTCTGTATGAACTGACTGGGCAATGGGTAGCCATCAAAGTGTGCTACTGACTTTCTGCGCATAATCAGATGGATTATAATTTTGAAAGAAGGAATTAAATAAGCGATGTATATGCATTTATAAGGAATGTTCTCTGTTAAAGAGAAATTAAAAAAACACTATTTTTATGAAGATTTGTTATGTTTTTGAGCAATGAAGAGGATACATTATGTAAAATTATTTTTCGTGCATCTAACTACAATCATCAGGTCATCCGAGAACATTGTCAGACACAAGATTGAAGTGCTTAATTGTGTAAATCACACGGACAACGATGATGAAGGACTTGACGTTTTTGTAGAGATTAGTGTGACAGGTAAGTAATTTATTTCTACATTAACTTTTTGTACCATAATTAAAAAAAAAAGTATATAGTATGTTGTAGACTTGAATTATATGAAATTCAAACGTTAATATAACCCATTAAGAAAAAGATGGACAGCATTCAAGGGGTGGTCGAAGACAATACCATTATCATTTTTATGTCATAGAATGCATTATCGAAAATGAAACGTAAAGCTGCTAGAAGGCTTATGAAAGCCGTCATGCTAAATTTCACAACATAAATGCGCTTCAGCTTTAATTTATGAAGCAATGGATTCAGTATACGACTGGCAAGAAAACCGATATGCACTTCCTGACTCAAGAATGAAAGCACTTGCATGGAGATTTGGCGTATTTTCTTGAAAAACGTGGCCGCATAGTTGCAGCAACGACAAAATTCTGGCTATGCGTTCTATCAGATCCAAACGTAGTCACACAGACGAGGTTCTTGAGCCCTTTCATTGCTGCTAAAAGATCATCCCCCCTTTCCAAAACTCGAAAAATATGTATTTAGATTTAAGTCCACAGCAGGAAACTAGAGGGTGTCACGCTGGTGGCATTTACCCCCATCCTGAAACTATAAACAATGAAATTCCAGAATCCATGGTCTAGACGAAAAGAAATGAAAACAAAGCAGCTGAGGAAATCGTAAGAACTTAGGTATGGGATTACTTTGTCTAGTCTTGCAATCAGGAGATTTGGCAGCCAGGTAGATTTGTACGTCTTGTCGAAAATGGGCCAGTTTTCCATCGTTCTGGAATACATACCGCGCAGGGTAGCTGCTGAATTATTCTCCAACGATTCTAACAAAGCTTCCAACAGCAAAATATGGTACTTCCCCATCAAGTCTGTAAAAGCATGTTGGCGTTTTAGGCAGTCGTAAACTGATTGATTCTTTCTCTTAGAACCTTTGATATCGATCGAGGTGCGTAGATTTACCACTGCTGACGCTTACTAGGTAACTAGTTGAATTACTTGTTTAAGAAAGACACACATGTCAAACTCGTAATTTTTCTGTGTCCTTGTAAAAAGGGAAAGCAAGTGGATGAGGGTAAAGTAAAGGCTTCATGGCGAAAGCTCTTCAGAAGAAACCCAGCATCTAGGTCTCATTTTATGATCCAGAAAGGAATGTGTAGCACAAGTGTCTCTGGGAGGCACTGGAAACTAGAAAGGATCCCCGATAAGTGCATCCCAGAAGCTGCCTTACGGAACTGTTGCACGTTGGCAAGCATGCTTTTTCTAATGACTTTAACTATTCACTTCAACCATGCATTTATATGACAAAAAATCGCTTGTGTTTTACTACATCTTGAAAGTTCGTCCGAGCTTTTTCTGAAACACCGTGTAATTTTATCATTAATTAATACACTTAGGAAATCTGTACCAAATTTTAAAAATAATTTTAACGTATTCTTTTTTTATTAACATTTGGGATACCTTCTAAAATGAAACACTATCAATTACGCGTGATAAGGCGACTAGCTGGCAAATATATCGGTCCATTTATTCATTATTTTATACACATCTATAGATCATGTAGTTAATTAAACCGTGTAGAGATAAACTTGAAATATAAATTAAAATATTTTAATCGATTAGCGACGATTTACATGCGGATTGTCCGTCAGGTCTTGGAGAAGATAAATGTCTTACATCTGGTCTGATTGTAGTACGTCCTTTTTCCAAGCCACGTAGGTGGTAACGTAACTTAGCGTAATGTAATAGCCCAAATAATTTGGGATGACTTCGTGGTAACATTTCTAACACCAGAACTACATAAAATGACGTCGAGCTCCAAGCACAAGACGAGATATCAAGCTTAGTGTATTACAAAGGAAGAGGTTAACAAACTCTGCGCGTTGCAAGTAGCAAAATAAAAATAAAGAAACTAAGACACTTTGGGAATCGTAATGAAGAAGAAGGTCAAATATAGGACGGCTATTCTCATAACTCCTTGTTTTAATCAGTTTTCGTCGCATTGCTTGCCTCTCCTTCCGAATTTATCAGTCACATGCTCCAAATGTTTCAGACTCAGCGGCTCTCTTGCTATCGTGTACAAACATCTCATCCTCAAGGTTGAGATAACTTTTATTTCCCCTCTGATACTTATATTTTTAAAAAATATTGGTATCCGTTAATGCCGTTGTTAATAATTTCAAAAAGCGTTTGTTTTTCCAAAGAAGTTTCACATAATAATCTCCTGTATGGGGTGGGTATTGTAGTGATTGAAAATAATAAATCGCTAAATTTGATTTTATTTTGTACGTGTATTTTATGTACTGGCGACTAAATGTCCGTAGGATGGACACTACATTGATTCGACACTATATAATCGATGCTAATTAGCAGTATTCGATCGACATGATAAAAAAAGGAAACTTGGTAATGAAATATAGTGACTAACAGAATTAATGTACAACCCCAGCCAACGGCTGGAATGACAGTATAGACAGCATCATTATGATTCTAAAAAACTTATAATAACATGAGCAAACAAGGCTCTTGAAGAAGGTACTATTTTGCAGCGAACAGACACTATTAAGGCGTTGTTCTACTAATAAACAGAGTAATACAACACATACAGTGGAGGCAGAGTTATGTGCCGTGCAATTTGCAACATAAACGCACACTATCGTAGACAATATAAATGCACAATTCAATTCTCGATATACTTCAGGGTTACACAAAATGCATATTGAAGTTAAGAATGAAATGATACCAATAGTGAAATAACATGTGATTATGTGTGACTGACGATATTCGGTTTAAAAAATTATGTTCATCATCAAATCCTGTACAGATCTCTAACCGTTACCATAACGGTGAAATCGGATATCGCTGTCTAAATGGGAAGAACATAAAACGGGCTTGGTTCTTAACGTCTAATTGTATATTTGTCACCTTCAAAGGTGTCAGAGATATACCACCGATACTTATAGGTAAAGCGACACGGCATAATATCAAAGTTAGTAAGGGAATTAAGGTGCATTTGTCATCTTCAAAGAGTTATCACAAACGTACAATCGACACGGTGTGAGACCAATCATGTGTTTGATTTGACACCTGCATAAGATAGACATAATCGTAAGTCCAACTTCGCGTAGGAACAATATCAACATAGTGTCGACATGGCGTACAGTCTACGCTGGAATTCAATAGACATTACATAATGTTGTAGCCAATGATTATAATGAACAACAGATGAACGAATGAATGAAGAGGAAAATAATTTTATCAAATTATTATTTTTAAGTAGCTGTATAAGATCGAAACCAGTTTCTAGGCCGTCGTGTGTAACCTCTGCCTGCAGAGTAACTAAATTCCTTTTTTTTTTTTTTTTTTTGGCTATCGGACATTAACATGGCGTTGTATTGCCCTCAAGTGTTACACCGTTGTGTGAGACGGAAGATCTTCCACGCTGTCGAACAAATAGCGAACTTTTACAATGTTGCTGTTCGACTTGGAAGATATGCCTTTCAAACTATTAAATACTGTTTCAGACTGAGAGTTTTAAAAACAATAACGTGCTTCTTTTAATATTTTAGTTTTGATGGTAAAAACATGATTACCTAATTTTCATTTTATTCTTCGAAGCGTGTTGCCCATTACATAATGGCACGATGTCTAAGTTATTACACCGTAATTTCATGTATCATCCATGTGAATTGGCAAATGTTGCCCAGTTTCGAAAGGTACCCACAAATCTTTATGTAAAAATTTTAATATTTTGCTGTATTAAATGCAGTTAAGGGGCGGGGGGATTTGAGCTCACTCTGATGTTTAAAAAGCCTATGAACTGGGAAAAGGAAATAAATGTGTGAGGAATTAATATTCCTTGCGTGCGCACTTTTATAGTGTAGTGGTTAGCGCATATAGGTAGCAACTGGAAGAGTCTATTCGTAATGAGGTCATAGTAATTTTTTTTGTGTGTCCCTTCCCCTTAAGCTCTGCTAATATAGTTATCTATATAATTTATATCTTGATTTTATTGTTGTTGTTTTGTCTATGAATTTCGAGGAAGAATGGTTGCCAGAGCCTCAAGGAAGTTGGACTTCTAATTCCACCCCAGTTTTGAGGGAGAGCACCAATCCACACGAGTACACTTTCGGGTCGCCATACAGTGGGTAGAAAAAGTATTTGCACACCTACATTTTTGTTTGCAATTCATAAAAAGAAGCATTAAAAAATAAAAAAATTGGTATTGCCAAATCAGAATAAGTTTAATCATCCAAAACAAACAGAAAAATTACAATAATATAAATAGCAATGCTTTTTTGTAACAAAAATTAAAATATCTCGTATCAAAAAAGTATTGCACAACACTGCATGAATACAAAAGAAATAAAATATATAAGCAAATTTCAAAAAACTAATATTTAGTATGCATTCCTTTAGCATCTATTACTGCTTGTAATCTTGCTGACATTGATTTAATTAAATTTTCTGTAACAGTAGGATCAGTATTCTATCCACTCTTCAATAAGGGCTTGTTTAGGGTAGATTTGCTTGAAATCTTCCTTTTTACTTATTTTTAAATTCAAAGTCCACAAATTGTCCAAAGGATTTAAGTCTGGTGATTGTGGTGGAGTGGCATGTTTTCTGGAAACATTATAAAGCAACCACATGACGTGTTATACCGGCAGTGTGCTTGGGATCATTGTCTAGCTGAAAATAGTACGAATTACTGATACCCAATTTTATTGTACTTTGTGGCAAGTTATCTCGCAACACATCAATATAGGTTCGAGCTGTCATATTCCCATCAATGAAACACAAATTACCAACTCCTTTGCTAGCCATGCACCCCCAAATCATAACAGAACCTCCTCCATGTTTAACTGTAGGTAACATATTTTTGGTATGAAAAGCAGTACAAGGTTTTCTCCAAACTAATTTCCTGCCATCTGATTTAAAGATATTGAACTTACTCTCGTCGGAGAATATGACATTTTTCCAGAAATCAATTGGCTTATTGATATATTCCTTAGCGAATTCAAGTCTCTTCAATCTATTTCGTTCAGTTATGAGAGGTTTTTTCCTTGGAGATCTCCCATAAATGTGTGCATCGTGCAGGACATTTCGAACACTTTGGGCACAGATTTGAACTCCAGATGTTGAAGCGACATCATTGGCTAAAGTAATTGCACTAATAAATGGATTTTTCGATGCTTCTCTTATGAGTTTTCACTTCATTCGCAGTGAAAGTTTCTTTGAGTGTCCAGAGCGCAAGTTATTTGATGTAGATCCTCTTTCTTTATGACGTTTTATAACATACCGAACAGTAGAGAAGCAAACATGTACTTTTTTTACCTATTTTTCGATAACTTAGGCCATTTTCACGTAGAGAAACAATTTTTTCTCGCAACGAAATCGGCAATTCAGTTTTCTTAGGTGCCATTACAGTTTGAAATCGACAATCAACTGATAACGTTTCTACAACACCTCCTTTTATAGTCGTCTTACGTATGTTATTTACTGCGGGAGGACTGTCAAATAATAGCATAAAAACTCAAATTTGCTAAAGTTGAGTTGAGTGTGCAAATACTTTTTTGACATAAGATATTTTAATATTGTTGCAAAAATATTTTTTTATTAATATTATTATATTTTTGTAATTAATTTAAATGAATAAGCTTATTCTATGTTTTAAATGCCAATTTTTGTATTTCTTAATTCATTTTCTTATAAATTGTGAACAAAAATGTATGTGTGCATATACTTTTTGTACCCACTGTATATTTAAAGTGCCTCCATGCCGCAAAGACACTATACATTTACAAACAGCCATGCTATCTCCGGGATTCGAAACCGGGCCTTTCGGTACCGATTTGATTTTTTAATATATTTTATATAACCTGTAATACATTTAATATATAATGTATGGTACAGATCATTTTAATGACCATTTGTATCATTATTATAATTAATGAACCATGTTTCTAATGTCAGATATTTCGTGTTTTGGTTCAGTATAATTTACGTTTGAGAAATAATTTTTATGTGATGCCTTCTTTTTGTGTTTTCTTAAGTTTATTGAAATGGTTTTTTTTTATTAAAGTTGTATATTATCTTCAATATATTCATGAAAATTAATATGAATACATACTTAAAGTTCTTTAAATTTTTACGCCGTAGAAGAAAATTTATCCTGTAGTTAAAAGATATTGTTTTTAAATAATTTTTCATTTATATTTCTCTAGATATGATACCGAAGTTTTGGCCGTCAATCTAAAAATGACTCGAGTTTGCTCAACCTCTGCCGTGTGTGAAAACGGAGGTTAACGTGACATCTGAACTTCAGAATTGAAGCTGTCTGCCATCTTATGTGAAAATGAAGTTTGCTTACGAAAAGGTGCTAATTTTATAAAAAATGTAATAATAAATGTCGCAAAAGGACTTCGGAAGTGCTGGTACACGTAATATTATGTCCTTGCCTCCTTGCCTTGAAGTTTTATTATCCCCTCGTTATCTGCGTGTTGTTGTTGCCAAAATCGAACTGCAAAAACTTCTTCCCCGAACACTTGAAAACTGCTTGGTGTTCTTCTTCGGAGCTTCTGAAGTGATATTATGTAGTATATTTTCTTTCGTCTGATTTAGTCATTCATTTTACTTCGTGAATTTTTAAAGCTCGTGAGTTGCCCAGCCAGCCATATTTGTGGAAGCTTAAAATGTAAATTTCCATCTATTTTGTAATATTCGTCTGACTTATAAAAGTATGGTTAGCAAGCATAGTTACTGTGTAACTTTTAGAAACTACATTTGTTTATAAATGGGCTTTTTATTTATATGTGTTAAATATATTTTGCTCGTTTTTTGTTTTTACTATGTTTTTAATCAGAATTTACTTTATTTTTCTGGTGTTAAAAATGTATCAATTTGCACATATCTTGAGTGTAAATAAGCCTTGTAAAATTTCAGGGTTTGTTGGAGTTATGGATTTATCTTAAACATTTGAGTGTTTCTGATATGGATATTATTCATACCAAGTACTTGAAATCTGTTGCTTGTTTAATTTTTGTACAAATTTCATACCTTAGAAATTAATATCATATTAACGTTGCAGTTTAAAATCTTAAGTTTCTGAAATTCCGAAGTTTGTTTTTGCGTAGTTTTATATTTATTGAAAGTCATTTAAATATTACGTGTACATAACATATGTTTTATAATAAGATAATTGTGAATATAATTATCGAAAGACGTACTTATTTATGTTCTAATTTATGTTTAAAAATAGTTTTGCTCAAAATATATCCGTAACGAGTCATTTATGTAATGTATTTGTTTTTTCGAAAAGTCTTCCTTCGGTATTATAAAGTATTTTATTGGAATTTTATTTATAATAAGAAACATAGGTGTATGAAGTATTTCTTAAGAAATATAGAATAAAAATATTTACATAATTGCATTTATTAAGCTTTTCAAGTTAAAAGCTGTTTGTAAATAGAATCTTTTTATTGGAATATAATTTGTAAAAATGACAACCAAAATGCATTATCTAAAAAAGCTGTTAAGTATTATTTTTACAACTAATTTATTGTAATATGTTGGGGTACAAATATAGCTATTAAATGTTTTTTGTTTATACTTCATCATTTTAATGACATATTTATGTAATTACAAATGAATTTTCCTTTCATAACTAAAGAGAGATTCAAAAAGGTATGATTCTAAAGTTTAAATCTTCAAAGGATTTTTAAACTAAAATTTGATTTTTTATAAAAATTTCATTTTTTATAAAAAATAATACAGATACCATGAAAGTTAGCAAAATGTTCATTACCTGGAAAGGATCCTTACATTCATAAACTACTACTGCTATTAAGTGTCCCCAAATCAGACAGAATTTTATTTGACTGTTGTATAAAATTCATTCATGACATGTGAATTTTGTACTCGCAGTCAGAGGGTTAATCTCTTTTTGAAATATTTCTCTTGATTTAAAAATACAAATTCAGCTGGTGCTGGCACTTCAGTAGCATATTTTGAATGAACTATAGACTTTACAATAAATATAACGTATCTTTTTTCTAGTTTTATAGGATTTGTTTAAAATAACCTTTGCTGCTTAATTGCAACTTAATTGATGACGGTTGTCTGATAACAATTATGACATATCCTTTAAAGACATTAAAGACTGGTAAACCTGTTGGCATAAACCAAAGATCCTGAAATTTTGTCAGCTACCTCACTGTAAAATTCACTTGATGTAATTCCACAAGTGAAAAATCTGTTGGTGTCAGGTTTGGTTTTTGTTCTTGCTCTCAGAAATCCTTTAATCCTTCCAATTTGAATATAATCCAAACCCGTGTACAAGATCTTATCATGGTTGAGAGGAAGAAAGCTTTTGTCCTTGCCTAAGGGTCTTGGGTACCCGTGTAGGTGACAGTGCTTATTTTGCCTGTGGCCGAGCGGTGAAGCATGCTGTTGTTTCTCTTTATTATACGAGCTAAGCTACCTCTTATTCAGCTACTATGTTAAACCCCTAACAATTCTCTTTCTTTACTATTTAGCTAAGCTTATTTAATTCGTTCTTCTTAATTATGATGTGGTGGTAATTGCAGTTAACTTGCAAAGGTATTCCGTAAACCAAACTCCTTGATCCGAGCAATAAAAGATTCCTGAATAGTGGTGGTTCTTTTGAGCTGGTTGCAAAGTTGATTTTTGTAGTTTTCCCATGGCTAACGTGAATACGAGCCGGTTTCCATTTTAAAATCATCCTTCTCATGAGGCAGTTTGCCATCGTGTAATTTGTCATATTTCGTTATAACTAATCTGTCCAGTTCCGTCCCCGGTTTGATGGAAAAAAACTTCAGGCAATGAATCCAAGAGGCCATTCTTCCACAAACACCAACCTCTTGAACTCGTACTGCAGGAAATTTACGATGAGTTACCGATGAAACTAGCTTATAGGAATATCATATGCTGTAGAAGTCGCTGTACTTCCTCTAGTTGGTAAAGCTTTATAATTTAATGTAATATAATGAACTTACCCAAGAAGTCCATGTGTATTCCCTTATGATGGCTTTGTGTATTTATGCACCTTTTTGACAAGACTCTGTGGGAAGGCAATACAGAGGGAATTCTTTCATAAATGCGCCATGCCTTAAGGATCGGCTTCTTGATGCAAGTCTCCCAGCGTTTGGCAAGGGAGAATCTTTCACAGTGGCAACTCTCGCATAAACTATTCATGAAGGTGTCCGCAGCTTTATAAAGTTGTCGTCCAGGTAACAAAAAACTACTTTCATAAAGATGTGGTCGTCACCTTTATGGCGGGGCAATATTATAAAGGATTTTGCCTTGCCGAGCACTAGCCGATCTGCATGAAGAAGCTGGCATCATTATGAATTGGCCGACTGAGTTATGTTGAGAATCTGCCCAGAGGACTGTGTGCAAGTCTTCTATTTACGTACAATATTGTAGTTGTTTTTATTCAGGAAGTTGTGCTTGAATGCTTACGTCATGTGTGCAAGGCCAGATCAAAATAAAACGTTTGGAATGCTGTGTTCAGCATTCTTTCGGAGGCTCTCAACGTCCACTTTCCAGTTCAGTACGAGATAAGCGGAATTATAGATTAATTTGGGGCCTAGGCATTAAATAGGCTCCGCTTCTGTTACTCTGCCACATGAAGTAATTTACTTCAGTCCCGTTCCTTTGGCACATGTGTAGAAGTAAATATTAAGAGTAGGTTAGTTTATATGGATATCTGCTTTATGGGACGAATACTTTGATAGAGTACTTTCGAAGGGAAACTAGTTCGCATTCACATTACACATCGGTAAAGTACGGAGCCAAGCATGCAGCCAGCTCGTTTGTCTGGGTTCGAACCCGAGACGAACTATTAGTGTCTATTATTTTTTAAGCTCGCCACTGGTGAGTGCTAAACGTTACGATTAAAGGGACTTTCCATAGCATTGGGCAATATAACCGATCTTTTGTTTTACCAAATTTTTTTAGATGATGCTTGCCCTGTGAGGGAACAATAATTTTTTTGAATTTATATTAAACCAAACCTCATGCGAGTGCAAGTGAAGATGTTTTTATTATAATTTTGATGTCTTTTACTACTGAATACGGGTTTAGTACTTTTATAATAGATCTGACATTTAAGATTGTAACTAGTCGTGTGTCTTTTTAAAAATGATTATTCTATTTTACACTGTTAATAGGTTTCTCGCTATTCTTACTATTTTGCCTAAAATAAAGTAAAATATAGAGTTTTAAGATGTGCTAATGTAAAGGATACAGTTCAGAATTAATTGTTGCAATTATAATTATTATTATACAGATTTCGTATTCATGAGTGAATTCTGAAGTTATTTATTTCAGCTTTAACTTTATTTGTGTGTTCCTTTGGCTATGTTTAATCTAGTTTTGTATTCTTTAAGTTTGAATGAATTGAGTAGTGATAATATTATGGAAGCATTTCGTCGTGAAATCGTCAATAAGACTTTGAAGTCTATAGAAGAAATCAAGTTTATAATTGTTATTTGATAAAATACGAACAGTTAGGTGCGGTGTACGAATGTTTTACACTAGTAATATGTATTGGTCTAAATATAATACAATTGTAAATTTTTGTAAAATTTACATGGAAAAGATAAAAAAGGTGTTTGCGTTTACTATCACCTCACGTGTAGGAATTTGATATGTTAAAGGTCTTTTTCAAGAAAAAGTAATCTAAATGTCATACCTTGAATAAAGATAATAAGAATAATATATGAATCATATTGATTCTGCTTATTTTTTATATGGATTCAAGATTTGCACGCAGAAGACAGGTATGGTTTTTTTAGACTATTTGAATTGGGAAGAATTATACCATCAGCTTATATTAAGGCCAATATATTTTTTTGGAGTTCGCCCTAATATTGTTTTTGTATCGTACGTAAGGGGGCCCACCAGCGGCCGAGCGGTAAAGTCGCTGAACACTGGTAGTTCGGTCCGAGGTTCGAATCCCGCGAACGAGCCGGCTGCATGGGTGTTTTCGTGGTTTTCCCCATGTGTAACGTGTATACGAGCCAGTTTCCCTTAGAAAGTCCTCCACGAAAGGCATCCCTCCTCTTAGGCAGATAGCCCTAGTGTGCTTTGCCATAATTAAATACACACACACACACACACACACACACGTACGTAAGGGTGCTGGTTCGCGCGGTTTTGTAACAGGCTTAGAAGTGTGTGAGAGTAGACTATTTTGTCCCCGAAATATCGTAGTTTTAAACTCATGTTTGCGGTGGTAAATAGCGTGAATTTTTATGTTTGAAACTCTATTTAATGTTCTTTGTCCTTAGGCAAAATGAAGTAAATAATTCTGGATAAATTTAACCAAAAGTTAATAAAACCTAGTGCTAGACTAAAACTAGCTAAGTTCCTTTTTATTTAGCTTGTGTGTAAGTTCATACAATATGCGAAGCTCATATGATTCAGGCTAATTTTTATTTTTTGTGCTAATGAGAAATAAAGTGAATACTACTTCCCCCCTCCCCGAAAAGAACGTATTTAGTTTAGCCTAGATTTTTGAATAAAACTCTATCCATTTCGATGGCGATCAGACACAGGTCCCACTTCTTCAGGAGCGGGAAAAAACTGAATTTTTTTAATAAAAAAATTAAGCAGTTGCAATTAAATTTTTTAAATTGCAAAAAATTCATTTAAAATTAAATTTTTTAATAAACAAATTTAGCTTTTTTTCCCTTCGTCCATCGTTCTCGTTTTTTTGCTCTCGAAATGGATAAAATTTTGTTCAAAATATGTCCCAAACTTAAGGTTTTTATTTTTGTTTTAATTTAAAATTTACATTATTGAGTTGCTCTTCCAATTTGAAAGTCAGTACATTTAAGTAGTTAATAAAATTATAAGTAAATTGTGCCAGTACGGATTGCAGTTAGTAAGTGCATATTTCAGCTTATTTGTAGCTTCTAATAAATTAATAACTAAATATTGTATTTAAAAACCATTGTAATTATATTCTTTCCAAATTAAAGGGGATTAATCAATATGTAATTTTTTGGGGGGGAGACATAAACACTAACGTAAAGAATGTTTGTAGGCCTTTTAATAGAAACATACGTTAATTATGTTCTTACCATTCTTCTGTTCGCTTTTCTTGCTATTTTAAATTTAATTATCGACAAGGCAAGTGAATAGTAAGTTATGTTAGTTATTATAATTAATATAAGTTTCAGTTAAAACGTTAAATTTTCTTGTCTTTAGTGTTTACGAATTTGAGAACTTGCTTTTTTTTCGATTAATGATTGAGATTACAGAAATGAATAGCAAAGTAATTAACTTCTTTTTTTAAAAAAAATAATAGTGATATTTTCTTTATATTTTAACCCAACGACCTTAGCTGGTTTCCACCAAACTGCTTCTAATATTTAAGTCTAAATTTAATGATTTCTCTAATCGCAGTTTCCACTAGAATTCATTTTAAATGAAGTATAAATGTTTATAATAAATATTTTTTTTTTTTTTTTTTTTTTTTTTTTTTTTTTTTTTTTGAAAAGACAGTTATGAAGTATTGAGAAGTACGTGAAAGACATGTAAACAAGTTCTAACATTTCTTTAAATTAGTATTTTATTTTTTCTCTGGTTATGTTTGTACCCCAATTAGAATCTAGTGATTATTTTTCTTAAGTTAGTTGCATAAATGGACAGTTTCTTGCTTGTATAGTCAGTTTCTAACTACCAAACTAATATTGAAGATGACATCCAAGGCTGTTTTGGTTACAGTTAGAACTGCGCAGGAAGGAGTGTAATAACCCATATTATAATCGTAAAAGTATCATTGACACTTTATCTGTATTTCCAAATTCTTGAATTTGGAGTTTCGTTGGTTACCTAAATTACATCCACATTAAAAACAAAAGCATATTGTAAATAACGGAAGTATGTACGTATTAAATAAAACTAACTTATAAATGGCATTTAAGAACGACAAACACTGTACTTTAATTCCGTTTAATTATCACGAGAACTTAAACGTCATTCATCTCATTGTGTAAAAATGTCGCTTAGAATTTTTTTATTAGCATGCGCGCAATTTAACAAGTAAAAAGGGTTAAAGAACGATATAAATGCTATTTCGTAATGCCATTAAATTATCAAGAGAATGTGAATATCATTGATCTCAGTCATGTAAAAATATCACCTAATTTTTTTATTGTACAACATTTATATGTTGCCGATTATGTACAGTTATGCGCTGTTACATATAAAAACAATTCCCAGATATTATGACATGCTCTAATTACGCTGCTATTATCATATCATAGACAGTTATATTTTACGCTGACGGTATGGGATCGTAATTTTCCATCTTTCCGCTATAAGCAAACCTAATTTAGGACAGGTCGTAGTTAATTGGGAGTTGTGAATGTATTCTAAAATTAATAATTAAAACTTCAGAACAAAAAAAATTATTAACATATCAACGTTCACCACCATCATGGTAATTTTTCGTTTAAATATACTAGTTATTTCAGAAGTAAAAATATTTTAATTTTTTTTTTATTTTTCAAAATATCTAAAAAATTATCAGACTTTTCTTAATAATATAATAAAACTAGCAATACTATTTTGTTGCAATATTATATGTTTTTATATTTTGTTTCTTAAAGTATCAGATAAATATTATAAAATTTATAGATCTATGTAATTATAGAATTCATATTGCCATCTTATGTAAAAGGCACAGAAAAACATGCAGATGTATAATAAATCATATGCTTTAATAGTGGTATCTTAAGTTTAAATATATACACACGTAAGTTATTATTTGTAGTTATAATTATTGTGTATGTAATCATATTTGTGATTGTATATAAATTATTAATCATAATGTGTACTCATGTAAATTATTATTTGTAACTTTTAGTGCATCAAACGAAAAACGCCGAGATTATATTTTGTAGCATAGAGATAATTCGATACGATCTGCTCATAATTTTGTTAAATAATAGTTTTTTTACAAGTTTTTGTTAGTATAACTATTAGCAGATAGTAACGATTGTTTTATTTTTATAAAATTCTTGGCTTCTTTGGACTTGTTTAGGATTTAAGTAATGATGTAATTTGAATAGTACATGCGACAAAATATTTAAGTAAATACTGGAAAACATGCGTATAAAAATCATTTCGAAAGTTGCTGTTATTTTTCACAGTCGCAATTCCTCAAATTCTCTGAAGAGAATTAAATAAACAATAATCGTCTGCGCTTCTGAAATTCCCTGTTTCTAAAGAATGTGCTCAATGAAATCTTTGAGTAACTGATGTTTTGATTAAAAAAATTCTATAAATATATAGAAATGGTCCTTTTATATATATATGTGTGTGTGTTCCATTATTATTATTAGATTGTTTTATCTTATGTGCCTCAGAAAAATAAAAAACGGAAAAATTCATTATATCGAAACCACCATTTCGTACACTAACTGTGGAACGAAATAATACAAAATTGTACAATTTTCTCTAACATTTTTCATAAATTTAAGCTCACAAATAATCGTAATTTATGAATAAGTACTTGGTGAATAATATCTATAACAGAAATAGAATATCAATGAAAAGTCAAAGTAGAAGTATTTATTTAAATTGAAACGATATCCAATAAACATTATCATTGAAAAGTCAAAGTAGTAGTGTTTATATAAAATCAGTGTTGGTTGCATGGGTAAAATGCTACATGTTTTGAGCATTAATTATTATTTTGTAAGTGAATGCGTATGTGTATTATTTAATGACAGTTGTGTTGTAATTAAACTATGGTGAATTCTTGATATGTAAATATAAACCAGAATCTATTTATATTGTTATTGTTGAAAATTTTCGCTGCATATTATATCAAATGACAGTATTTACAGAAGACATAAGTCATTTTATTAATGGATAAGTTCCTTAGATATAGTTTTTTTTTCCTTTTTGTACAGCCATTTTTTAAAGACTGCTTTCATTTTGTACATTTTTCATCAGCTGTGATCGTGCAGTCGTATTTTGGATTGCTTTTTATTTGTTGTTTAGTTTTCATTGACTTTTGAAGTGTGCAGCGTATTGTAATTTGATTTTACTTTATGTAAGTATGTACGTATGACATTTTTTTCCGTTCCAAATAAAGACATCTTTATTTTAAATAATTTTATTATTTTATTTTGTTTATTGTTTTCTGTTTTTATCTTTAAGTACATTTACGCATTCTTAAAGTTATTGATACGCGTTCATTAAGTGTATATGAGCCAGTTTCCCTTTGAAAGTCGTCCACGAAGGCATCCATCCCATTAGGTAGATAGTCCCAGTGTGTTTTGCCATAACCAACCAAATCATACCAACGCGTTCTTTAAGCTTCGCGTAATGGATACGCCAGTTCGGCAGGAAGAAACGGAAATTTGATACTTTCAAGATATATTTGTTGGCTACACTTTGTAACTCAAGCATACTAACTGCTAAATATTAAATTTGACTGGCATTTCTTTCAAATTACTCATTAAATAACTTTTAATTTAAACTAAAAATAAACAATTTATGAAACTTTTCCGAGAGAATTTTTCATGTAAGACAAAATGAGACAAAACAGTTAAAAATAATTAATTTGTAAAAAAAAAATTAGACAACCTGGTCTCTAAATCTTTCTCTGACACATAAATTAAAATTATGTATTTACGTATTAACGCAACAACCTTAGTAGAAACCGCCAATTTTTCAGAATATGCAAAACTCTGGTAACCATGCGTATAACCATTCTTCCGGCTGCCATCCTCGTAACAGTATTTCAGTCAAACAACGCCGCCATTTTCATGTGCGTTCTTTTTTGTTGTATTACATGTTCCACCGGTTTTTCATAACAATTCGTGGTATTTTTTGCCTTAAAGTTAGTTTTAAAATATGAGCTTGCGGAATTTGTCAGCAATGGAATAAACTGCGGTAATATTTCTGCAGGAATACAGAACTTTGCTTAAAATTTTCTAAAGAACGAGGAAATGCATTTTCGAGATATTCGCTGTTGCCGAAGTTTGCACGTAGCCGAGTCTTCGCAATTCTCTGATGTTTTTTTGAGTGAAAACGGATCGCTATGTACTTCGGGTTAAAAATATCGCGAAAACTTCACAAAAAGATTTTACGAATGTAAGTGCTTTACTTTTTTAATGTATCACGTAATCCTTATTTCATAATTTAAATTTGTATTTTAAATTGCTAAAGTATGTTTCCTTTTCATGTTTTGATAATATTTAGCTGCTTAATAACTATTGATAGTTTTGGAATCTATCTAAAGAATGGCGCGAAAGCCACCAAGTTCAACCCGATTAGCAACTTTTACTTTTTGTCTGTAGAAAATCGCCCAATGGTGGTTACGTGAATACGTAAGTACCAAAATATATTTTTATATAAATAATTATAAACTTCATTATTTCTTACTACAATCTGACACTTGATCATGTTTCGATTCAGATAAAGTTTGCAGCCTCTCTGAAAAGTTAACTAAAAATTGTTATCGTAACGGAAAGTATGTATGTATATTTAATTATGGCAAAGCACACTAGGGCTATCTGCCTAAGGGGAGGGATGCCTTCGTGGAGGACTTTCTAAGGGAAACTGGCTCGTATACACGTTACACATGGGGAAAACCACGAAAACAACCATGCAGCCAGCCCGTTCGCGGGATTCAAACCTCGGACCGAACTACCAGTATTCAACGACTTTACCGCTCGGCCGCTGGTGGGCCTGTTATCGTAACGGATTGTAGATAATCATCGGTCAGTCGGGTTCTTTTCATACAAATTTCCAGCTGTAAATTGTCATTTGGAGATTGATTTGCTGTTATTCAAATCCCTTTTTTAATGGTAACGAAGATACATAAACTCGAGCTAGAAGTAACTAAAATATTGAAATCTTTGCAACAAATACACAACTGAAATGTTTTAGGAGCTGCGGACTGTCAGTTGAAGACCATTGACGGAGATTAGCAAACTCTCTCATGGAACAAAGACGGAAACTATCGATGACCTCAATACAATTGCATTGCTATCTGAAGTGAAGAACTGAACTGACGTGACACTTGACTCCAGTGCAGCCGCTTTTATAGACCAGCAACCGAACGGTAAATCTCGTTGAACACTGGTATTTCGATCTTGGTTCGACTCCAGGCAAACATGGTCCACCAGCGGCCGAGCGGAAAAGTCGCTGAACATTGATAGTTCGGTCCGGTGTTTGTTCCCTGCAGAACGGACTGGCTGCATGGGCGTCTTCGTGGTTTTGCCCATGTGTAACTTATATACGAACCAATTTTACCTTAGAAACTCCTCCACGAAGGCATCGCTCCCTTTGGGTACATCGCCAAGCCATCTCGCGTATTGGTGGTATAAAAATGGTTTTTTTATTAGTGTTTAATCAATTCAAATACCCTAAAAAGGATACGAGACATCAAATTAGAACACGCTAGATAAATAAAACTATGCCAAGGTATTTTATGCAGTAGGTTATTGACACTCACTACATAAAATTAACCTAATTACCAATGATCCAGACAAACTTTCAATAACCCCATAAAGTTAAATGTACTTATGTAATTATATAAGAAAATGATACTTTACGCATAGCATCTGACATTTATAACTATTCTCATAACACACAAATATGAAATTTACATTATTAATACGTATTATACGCTTTTTGAAATGGGGAGAACACTACATTGCTGATTAGTCTTATAATCTCTACCGTTTGTGTTCAGACTTTAAAATATTACGAACTTTGTTGTCCGAACCCGGATACATTTCAATAACGCATATATAATCATTTACAGTAGAAAGTAGATCGTCCTGTTTCATCAAAATCATTGACTCAACCTTAAGCCTACCAGCGGCTGAGCAGTAAAATCACTATATACTGGTAGTTCGATTTAAGTTAAAATCCACTCAATTGAACTGGCTGGCTGTGTGCGACTTGTCTTTGCTAGGCCGCTTCCTATCTGCAACGGAGGATCGAATCCCGCGAACGGGCTGGCTGCATGGGCGTTTTCGTGGTTTTCCCCATGTGTAACGTGTATACGAGCCAGTTTCCCTTAGAAAGTCCTCCACGAAGGCTTCCCTTCCTTAAGGCAGATAGCCCTCGAGTGCTTTGCCGTAATCTAATAAAACCAAACTATCCTATCTGCAACGTGGATATGAGCCTCTTTCCTTTAGAAAGTGTCTAAAAGGAAAAGATTATCTGCTTGAGGAAAGGAATGTCAGAAAGGCGTCCGTACCTTAAATCAGATAGCCGACTTGTGTATTGGCATAGTCAAAATCAAGGTTATTATACTTTGGGGGTTTCGCTTTCTTGATTAAGGTCAAACGGCGTAATGACGTCGACGTCCTTGCCTCGTAAGTCTGAGCACATAGATAAGATACGTCACTGTCTCATGCGTCAAAAAGAGAGATGTTTGACCATGGAAGAGTTTAACCTTGCCTGTCTATACTGACCTTGATCTAAATGATACAGTCGAAACCCGACGACCAATCTTAATCTTTCCCATCTTGAACATCCATTTCGAGTTTTAGTGAAGAGTATTCCTCTAAAATCAATTCTCCATCCTATCCTAAGTTGTGTCTTAGCAATATCTACTAGATAAAATGATCAATCGAAGAAAAAGACCAGCAATAGTATTTGACAGACCGATCAGTCATAAAAAGGAAAAAGGATTAGGACCTAGAATCTCAGCAGCAGCATTGATAAACCGATCAATCAATAAAGGACAAGGAGTTAAATTCACAGCAAAAGCGTTGATAGATAAGCCAGGGAAAAAAAGAGCAGTATTTAAAATCTCAACAACAGTCTTAATAGACAGGATAGGTTAATCAACAATCTTAATCTTTTGGACAGATCAATCCAAAAGGACCAGGGGTAAATTCTTGAAGTCCTCATTATCATTCGACAACAAAGTATGAGATTTGATTTAGAAGTTCTTCCACTTGAATAATAGTTGTTTCGAATTCCTCATTAAAGAAAAGAAAAAAAAAAGCGTGATTTACCTGTTGCTTGTTTAAATGGGATTTTACTAAATACTTTTTTCCCAAACACTTTCGAAATGACTCAGTTTAGTAGTAACATACACAATGTGGCTTTGGGATTAAGTTCGAACAAAATCGAAGTTTTTGGAAAAATATTCTTGCTTTGTACCTTTCGATATACAATCCTCGTTAAATCTGTACATCATTTGGCATGTTCATACCGCCGCTTTATTCTTTCGTGAAACTTATGTTTAAGTCTTGTCGTTAAGATTTTTTAAATCTCCTCAATGCTATTAAAATAGACTTTCATTAGATGCTTCACTTAAGGAAGGAACAGTAGTTTACAAGTGCCATATTTGATAAGTACTGGAGTTGGTTGAGAACAATGACATTTTGTTTTTTTGGAATGAAATTGTCCATGTTCATTGTCGTACAACATATATCAGTTATTCGGTTGTGTTTTTTATTTTCTAATAGAAAAATTACTCAACAAGTTTATCAGCTATCATTCGATGAGACTGGGATGACTTTTGAGCAACAACTGTATATCTTTATAAGGTAATTAAGTATCACTCTGCCAATAATGAGGTCATTGTCGCATGTTTTGTAGTATTCGACTATGCTTTTCACTGAAAATGAGTTTCCTCCCTAGACTTAGACAAATATTCTTCCCAAAGTGATTACAGTAATATGCAGTTAGAAACTTACATTGGATAATGTTGGATACTGTGACAAATGTTACCCTTTGCGGGTGGTTTAAATAATGTTGTTGTTGACGGAGGACAGGGACACCGTCTCTTTATCATAGGTTAGTCGACTTTGCTCTATGTTCGCCACTGTCGAGCGGGAGAGCGCCCGGTAGGAAGGCAGGCGTTTCGCAGCAGTCGGGCAAAGACACTGTATATCTGCAAATGTATGCCCTATGTTCATTTGACAGTAGGGCAGTTATAACACTGTAGGTTACATACTCTGCGAAACTACTGGCTAGGATCTGTACCTAGGCAGTCACGGTCAGGGAGTATACAAATTATGAACTAGTGGTTCTAAGGGCCCCGAAAAGATCACTTATTGATCGGTACGTGGGTCTGGCAAGTCCTAGAACTCAAGGCTGTAATAGCCCGCTGTGGCGTCCCGGGTTCTGTCTAGGGTAT